AGGAAGGATAAAAAACACTTCTGAAAGCAGGACGGTTGCCAGCGAAACAGAAAAAAATAAATTAAAAAATCCTGTTTGAATAATTTTATTCTTAAACATGACAAACTTCCTCCGAGTGTTTCCACAAGTACTTGTGTCTGCTCTACGCGGCTCGGTGAAGCCTGTAGAAATGTGTTCCGGTCTGCAAAATATTAATTAAAAAAAAAAAAAAAAAAACCAAAACCCCAACCCCAACAAAACCAACCCCAACGAAACACGACGTGCTGTAACAGCAGCAGTACTTGAAGGCAGCCCCCGCTGGGGCAAGGTACACCTCTGGGGTCATGGCAGGAGCTGAGAGTGGCAGAGGCTCGGGCGCCGGGAACCGGCACGTTCTCGGGGACGTGGTGGTTTCTGGGATGCGGAGGCAGCTTCCTACCGGCTACGCCTGCTCTGCTCAGCGTTCCTCTTCCTCTCGCACCTCCTGCTTTCGCCGCCTGCTTCCAAGCTCTCGGCAGAGGCACTTCGCCCTCTTCCCTCGCACTCCTGAGGATGAATGTAAACACCACCGACCCTGTCCTATCCACCTCCCTTCGCGCCCCACGGCCGCCCCAGTTCCAACTGGGAAGGCGGAAAACCAGAAACCCCCTCTCTCGCTTTCGCTAGCGGGCAGAAGCAGGAGCGCCTGGGGAGGACAACGCTGAGCTCAGCCCGTCTCCTCCCGCTACCGCCTGGGATGCTCTCGCTAGTGCAACAGAAAAGCAGAGACCCACACCACTCCGGACGAGCCTCGAGTGACGATCGCAGAGCGGAACATCAGTGCAGTAATACTGGAAATACTGAGACAAGGCAGGCAGCACAGCCCTTCTTCCTCACGACGCTTTTTCAACTAGCTTTTTGATCCGAGTCTCCATGCAAGTCACAGAAGACAACTGTGCTTCCTGCGTTCACAGATAGGAATAAATAGCTCTGGATCAGTTTTCTTTATGGCCGGATTACAGAAGCCCCTGAAATACTGATACGCTTATGAACAGCAGCACTGTGCAGTTCCGTGAGCATCCTTGGACAGGCCACGTTCCTCTAGGACGCTGGCGCATCTCCCAGGCGTATGGCCCCAAAGAAAGTTGTGTGCTTGCTCATGTTGATGGAGATGTCGGCATGGACCATCTTCACGGCGATCTTCTGCCTGGCCTTGAGGAGGCAGACCCCGGCTGTATAGCAGGTATTGAAGTTGGTCTTGCCGGTCTCAATACTCCGAGTGCATTGCAGAAAGGGCTTTTCATCCACCACCACCTCATAGCTGGCAAAATCTGTGAAGTTTATGTAGTATACCTGATATGAAGCAGGAAGAAGAAAGACATTAGGGAGCGTATTTGCACACCAGGAGCAAGTCCACGTTCCCTTCAGTGCGTATCTACAGGTTCCCTCCGCTAACGACCCCTCCCTTGGCCCCGGGACCCCCATACTCATGGGAGGTTGAGTTCTTCAAGGCAGAAAGAACCCCAAGGCAACCAAACACGAGGAGACTCTGCATTCCACTCCACGCGAGCGCAAGCATGCAGGTGTCCATGAATCCACCTATCTAAGGCGGAGCTGCGAATCCTCGCTTTAGACCCCGCTCAGCACAGGGAAAAGTACAAACCTGCACAGGCCGAGTTACAAACACGTGTCGACAGCCCCGTCGGCGACAACCAGCCTCTCACCCACCAAACAAACAAACATTTTCACTGAAGGCCTCTTTCACTTACCTGGCCAGTCCTGCTTTCTGGGTCCCATGAGCCTCCTTTAGTGTTGACATCAAAAATGCCCTAAGATGTACTGGGAGCTGCCGCCTTTGTGACTGGACTTGAGGTGCTTCCAAAGGCATAAGCTACTACGGGGAAGACACTCTCCCAACCTCCACGGCTTGGAAGCAAATGACCTTAGGGTGCTTGCACTGATTAAGCTCTCGGATCTAGCGCCCAAGTCCCCGTGACTCCACTACTCGTCACTTCTCCATCTCCCCCACCGATTCTGAAGGACTGCGAGGTGCACGAGAAAGACCTGCCCAAAGAGAAGTCAGGCCCAGGGAGCTGCTTCTCCCTGACAGAAGACCACCAGCCATTTTGGATGCACCTGCGTGTGCCTCTAAGGCTACACCCTGCGGTCACAGCAGCTCTACGCAGGACTGAGTGCTCTTTTTCCTGAATGGACAAGGGCTTCGGAGGCACAACGGTGCGGCCAGCCATTGGGAAACAGCTATACCTTGGCCCACACAGAGTCACATTTCCCGTCCCCATCCAAACCAGTTCCATGGAAGAGCACCTAACTCGATATCCACAGCCCACTTTATCCGACTTGGCACAGTCCTGGTGGGGCTGCCAGCTGAAGAGAGGCAAATCATGGAATCATCGAGGTTGGAAACGACCTCTAAGATCATCAAGTCCAACCGTCAACCCAACACCAGATCATGAGCCGGAGGTAACGTTACAAGCCCAGAGCAAGGTGGAAGTTGCTCAGTGGTGGCTGTCACACAGGGAAGCCCCTCGTCTTGCTAAGATCTGGACAGTGGTTCAGCCCACGGGTGGGTGGGCACCCTGCACGCTCTGGAAGGGGAGAGCTTTGCAGCTCACACCCCACGCAGCTCAGCAGCTCTGTCCAGAGATTTGCCAGACACTGGGAGCAGCGCGTCAAAATGACACCTCCTGCAATTCTGTTTGAATGGGGAGAGGAAATGATGTCTTAATCAGCTGTATAATAAATCATAATGCAATAATTCGTTACTTCGTTTAGCCCTTTTTTCGGAAGCAGGTCCACACATCCGTCGTCCGTACCAACTAAAGCAGCAGCCGAGCCATCCCGCTGCACCATGCGGTCGCTGGCCCATCGTGTCGGTCAAGCTACGTGAAGAAGGTGGAGGCAAAATGGAGTTACCTGGGCTGGAGTTGGGCCAAGCCACCTGGGGCCAAGTCCTACGCTTACAAAGAGCGACACGGCTTCACAACGCTCACGAGGGCTCAGGGTTTTGGTCTTACACCTCTTCTAAAGCTCAGAGGCCAACGTCCTGCTGGGACCCTCGTTCTGCAAGGAGGTTTAGGTGGGCTGGGGAATGACCGCACAGGCAACACGGAGGATTGAAAAAAGGCACTGGTGGCGTGCGGGATCTGGCTGGGCGTCTGCGTTTCAGTAACTAATCTCTGGCGGCTGGCGTCACTGCGAAACGTGTGACCTCGCACTTCGACACTCTAAGGTCTTCCTCCGACACCCATCTCCTAGAGCACGAAGTGGGTAAAAGCACACACAAGTTCTTGGCATTTGCTGGTTGTCTGGAGCCCTCTCGTGGTTCATGCAAAGGCTTCCATTGGAACACAAGAATAGGAGTTAGGCCCAGGACCGTACTCACTTCTACCTGACTATAGATGAAGTATGTGCCGTCCACCAGTACCTCCAGCTCCCCACTGCGGGCATGCAGCTTAAACACCTTGGGGTTCATAGTGATGCGAGACCAGTCATTGAGGACTCCACCTGAAAGATCTCAGTATGAGAAAACGGCAGTCACTCAGTACCCGTCAGAATGAAAAGCGCAGGAGCACAGAAATACAGTGACATTGCAAGGTTTCATGCACAACGGCTGGCACGGACTCCAGTTCAAAAGTCAAGTAACTCGGTAAGGAAATCCCAGAATTAAAGGCTACGGTGCGTTAGTTGGGACTCCTCTCTACAGCTCTCATCACGCCGTCACTTGCTGGTGGACACTCATACTGTTCGGTGCACAGCAGCACCGATTTACGTCTCTACCTGTCCTCATCAAGAGCAGCTCTCCTCGTCCTTGAACACAGGGCCTACGGCCTTTTGTAGGATGCTACGTTCAGCCCCTGCGTTGACACGGGCTGACTTCTCTCCTCCTGGTGCTAGGTTGAGCTTATCATCATCTCTGAGCGTCTACAGCCCTGACAACGTGTTCCCATCAAAAGCAAGCAGATCGATGCCAGTGCTGTACGGCACCTGCTAAGCTTTCCTAGGTCACCTGAGAGGCCAGGGGCTGGTTTTTCACACTCTTTTTGTACGTTCAGCCACAGCCCCCAGGCGCCTTCTGGCAGCTGTGATTATAGCAGCACTTCTTCAGGCACCTCCTGCAGAGCATCTGCTCATGGCCCTTGTCAAAGCTTTCCTACTGGCGACCTCCCCGCTGTCCTGGAAGAAACTCTGCAGCGGAGGCAGGACCAGGATCTCAGCTGACATCACCCAGCCCTGCGGCCGTTAAATCTCTTCCTCCGCTCCCCACCTCGTTTGTTCCCCTCCCCACACCTCTCCACCCAGCTTCCACACCAAACACAGCGGAGCTTCAGCAGACGGCGTGCTGAGGACCGCATCAGCAGGGCCATCCTTGAGGACCACGGCAAGGCGAGGATGACAGCGGCGATTCCTGTCCTCGTGGGAATGGGACTAACGTGGCCGGTCTGCCTGCCCGCCTCCCAGCGCCGCTGGGCTGGAAGACGTTCTCAGCTGCGGTGTCACGACGCAGCCTTCGCCCTCACCTCAAGCCTTGGGACCATCCCGAGAAGAAAACTTAAGTCCTTGTGGCAAAAGAGCCAGCAACACCCTGGAAAAAACGGTGTGCAACGATGAGGCTGGACCACCTCCCGGGACGCGTCTGCGCATGGGGGCCAACTTCAGGCTACGCAATCGATTTTAATTCTGGCATTCCTTGACGTCAACGTTCTTGACTTTGTAACTGGCCAACTTCAGGCTACGCAATCGATTTTAATTCTGGCATTCCTTGACGTCAACGTTCTTGACTTTGTAACTAGCGTTATTTTACCAAACGCGTTGTCATTACATTTCCTAGGTATTTAGAAGCCAAAATAACAACCGAGTACCAAACTGCATCACGTCGCAGCACGTTAACCCCTGACCGGGGTTTATAGACCCCCCCCCACCCGCTCCTCCGGCACTGGAGCCGGTGGCCAGAACAGAGCCGCTCTCTGCGGCCGCCCGGCTTTACCGAACACAGCCCTCTTCCTCCCCACAGCCCTCTTCCTCCCCACAGCCCTCTTCCTCCCCACAGCCCTCTTCCTCCCCACAGCCCTCTTCCTCCCCACAGCCCTCTTCCTCCCAGTCTTCACCCGCTTTTCAGCCCCCCACCCCGCGAGCCAGCCAGGCTGCGTTTTCGGCCGGGCTAATTGCTTTTTGATCGTAAGCAGAGCAGCACCCTCGCCCTCGCCTTGCTCTTCGGAGCAGCCGGTTCCCTTTTCGTTTTGGGGAGCTCCCCCCACCCCGCTGCCAGGACACTTCCCCAGCCACAAGGAATTTCGGCTCACGTCCGCCGAGGGAGGGAAGCTGCCTTCCAACAGAAGCGGTGGCCAGCCTTCCTCACCCTCCTCATCCCCAGCACGGGGCGAAGCTGGCGGGCAGGGGTCCTGCAGCCCCGTCCCTGCTGCACCCCGGGGCCGGGACGGTGAAGTTATTTGACCCAGGCATCAAGCC